TTGTTTCTGCCCATTTATCAGGGGTCCTATTCCTCCCTGGGCCTTCCTTTTACTCCCAATATATCTAAAAAACAATTTCTTGTTGTCTTTTACTTGGGATGCCATCCTCAGCTCCATGGTAGCTTTGGCCCGTCTAACTGCCTCCCTACAAGCACGAGCAGAGGAGGTATATTCATCTTTGGTGATCTCTCCCTGTTTCCACTTTTTATGTGCTCATCTTTTGTCCCTTAGGCTGCCCTGGATTTCTCTGGTCAGCCAGGGAAGCCTCCTGGCCCCTTTCCCCCTTTTGCCTCGCTCGGGGATCGTCTTGCTTTGTGCCCGAAGGATCATTTCCTTAAGGCACAGCCACCCTTCTTGGGCTCCCATCACTTCAAAACTCCTACTCTGCAGTGCATCCTTGACTAATCGCCTGAGTTCACTGAAGTCAGCTTTCCTAAAGTCTAGCACTTTCACCCTACTAGTTACCTTACCCACTCGACGTTTTATGGTGAATTCTATTATTAGGTGATCACTGACCCCCAGATGGCTACCATGTCATCCCCCGTTGCCAATACCAGATCCAATATGGCATTCCCCCTAGTGGGACCGTGTACCTCCTGTGTCAGGTGGAGGTCCTGTACACAGGTTAGAAACCTGCATGAGCAGTGGGACTTTGCTGTCTGTGACTCCCAGCAGATGTCCGGGTAGTTTAGGTCCCCCATGACTACCGCCTCTTTAGCTTTTGTGGTCTCCGAGAGTTGCCTCAGGAGCCCCGAATCTCTTTCTTCCTCTTGATGTGGGGGTCTGTAGCAGACCCCTACCACCAAATCCCTTTCTCCTTGCCCCCCATGTAGCCTAGAGCCTTTTAGAGTGATGAAACTGCTCTTTACTGCCTTCCTCATCACTATTATTCTAAAAGTTGTGAGTTTTGTGAACTGAAACTAAACATACAGTAGCACTAAGGACTAAATGAACACCCAGCTTTGCAGCACCAGGCTTCTGGATACACACAGTCCAAAACAGTATCACAGTGGCATCTGTAACCTTCAATTAGACACACATGCATCTAATGTATGGGGAGAGGCAGAGGCAGAGGCCTAGGAAAGAGATTCTCTGAAACTAATTGCCTAAACTAGTCTGAAAGGAAACACAGAAAAGGGACAGGGATTAGGTGCCCCACATGCTGATTGCCCAGATACTGCCTCCCTTTTCCCAGGGTAATATTTAAATTATTTATTTGGAGTGGAATAGCTCCAGAAGAGACTGGGAACTGAGCCTGAAATAGCCAATAACCTGACAGTTAAGTCACCTTGCTAAGTTTTTCTTTCCAGGCATGCAAGAAAAAAAGGTTGACCAAAAATATTTAAAAAATGTGGTTACTTAAATATAGGTGGAATTTAATTGTCTAATAGAGAGCTCAGAAGTGCTAACCCAGCTGCAAAAACTGTCATTCTAGAGATACCTTCAATCAGCAGTGCCCAACTAGCACACTTTAAGAACAGAAACCCAAGAACTGCTACACTTCTATAAGGGCATGCTGTATTAGCACATCAGCTTATTTATTATTATTCTAATAAATCAGGATTTAGAGCTTGTAAACTAGCTCCAGCTATCAGAAGCTGTAGAGGTAGATTAGCATGACATTCTGCCCAGCCTTCTTCAGAGAGGAAAGACCTGAATTCTGGCAGCTGCTCCCAGGTCTACCTATGCATTTTGCTTTAAGCCAATGAAACTCACCCACTCGAGCAGTGGGCTGTGTAACAGGGAGCCTGGGTTCCTGTTACTTTAAGGCAGGGGTGGGCAAAATGCAGCTCATGGGCCAGAAGTGGCCCACCAGGCCATTCTGTCCGGCCTGTGGGGCCCCTAAAAAATTTAGAAATTTAATATTTATCTGCTCCTGGTTCCCTGTCATGCAGTCCTCAAATGGCTTGCCAAAACTCAGTAAGTGGCCCTCCGCCTGAAATAATTGCCCACCCCTGCTTTAAGGAAACTGCAGCTGGTAGAGCCTAGACAGCAGAATACAGCCACATACAAAGAGGCAGGCAGTGGATATACATTGCTGCCTAGGCAGGGAGCTGCTCATTGGAATAAAGGGGCAGACTTGCAGCCTGGTCAGAACTCTGCTTAGGATCACCTGTTGCAAACCTAGCCACTATGCAATAAGACAGCAGAGCAGAGCCTAACATGGGCAGCAGGGGTGCTGCTAGGGCAGCAAGCACAAACTGCCCTGGAAACCAGCAATCAGACCCAAAGGAGAAACCCCTACACTTGGCTGGGTGCCTCCTGATTGGAAGGTCAGGAGGGCCCACTAGCCTGAGAGAGGGAGAACTGAGACCAGCAGGGTCCAGGGGGGCCCTGCTGGCTGTCAGGAGGACTGAGTTCATTGTAAGAACCTTAGGTAGCCTCCCTCCCCATCATCCAAAGAATACATCAAGGTGTGAGGAGTCAGAAGGAGAGGGTACCCTACAGTTGGAGCAGGGCAGGCGGTTGCGTGGTCACCAGAGGGCATCACGGCTGCCCCGGAACCTCAATTTTGCTACGGGCTGGGTGTTTGCAACCTACCTGCACCATGGGCTGTCACCCCCTTCCCAAGCTAGGGAACAGGGGGAGATAGATAGGGGAAGTAAGTGGCTGCCAATGTCAGAGGGAGAGGAAGAGGGCTTATCTTCTGTAAACAGCACCTGTCACAGGGGAGGAAAGACAGCTTACCTCACCATCACCTGCCTATGGGAGTTGGGGGTGGGGAAGGGGAAAGAGAGAGTAAACAGTGCCTGCTGTAGACAAGGTGAAAGGGAGAGAAGAGGCAGGACTTTGGAGGGGGTCAACAGCATGGACTTGCTGCTGATCCCCCATGGCACGGGCAGAATCCAGCCTGTGGGCCATAGGTTGAGCACCACTGCTTTAAGCAGCCATTGGATGGAAAAAAAAAAAAAAGAAACAGCTTTGTGATCAAGGTCTCCCCTACCTAGGGGAGTGTTTTCATAACTGGGCTAGCTGTGTTCCTTCTTTGCTTTCTGTCTTCATGAATCTTGCATTCCTAGCTGAACAGTGACCCAGATCCATCACATGCCACTATCTAGAGGGGTTTGAACTCCGTTATAGACTGAGGAAGGTCTAGAACCAAGGCTTCCTGTTTCCTGGGTAAGTACTGAAGCCACCAGGCTATTATGTAAGAGCTGAGCACAAGCACCATCTTCCTCTCCACAGGCCACATTTGAATGTGTGTTTGTGGCTTCTGTGATCCATGCTAATCTCAGTCCCGTCAGCCTGTCTTGCATGTGCTCTGTGTGCACTTATCGTATGGCACATCTCTGGGAACTCCAGTGTATTGATGCCTAGTTTGTGAATCCCAGGGTTAAGTACCACACAAGCCAGCAATTCTAAACAAGGGTAGTGTAGTACCACAGGTGGCTTGAGATCCTGTCAAGGATGCAATGAGGTGCCATGCTATGCAATATTAGCACTGCTAAGTGTGCAGACATGCTTCGTAAGATATACCCAGAGATTTCAAATAAGAATCCATAGGCTGCAACAGGTCAGAATGATTTTAGCACTTTCTGACTTTTTTGCAACAGAAAAAAAAATTAAAAATCGCTCTAGTATTTTTCGATAGTGAAAACACAGATAGTTAAGAGCTGTATTTTGTGTCGGGACCTTGCATCTTTAAAAAAGGTTGAGAAACACTGTCATAGGTAGTGAACAGCACAGTAGTAATTGGAAATTTTATTGGCAAAAAGCTTAGGTGTCTGCAGATTTACTGATACCTAAGCTGATAGGCACCTAGAATTCTGCTTAAGTGCCCAAGTGCTTTTGTCAATCTAGTCTCTTATGACTGTGAGTGGCACTTATTTGGATAACTTGCATGTAGAGCTTGCTTTATCAATGGAGCATAGACAAATATTATTGTCATCTTTTTCTTCCCTCCAAACTGTGCCCTGATATGAACAGCTGGCCACTAGGAAATGAATGGGGAGCAGAATTAAATCTAACACAGGCTACAAAATGATCATTTGATAGCAATATCATATTCAGAAATTGTATACCAAAATTATTCATTTTCTGTCTGTAGTTCCACAAATATATTGTACCCACAGTAATCATCTTAATACTCTGGTAAATTAATTGAAGTTTTTTAAAAAAAAGACTTCACTGATGTAAAGCAGATGAGTTGAAGGAGAAATCCTAATCTTAATGTACTCCATGTTGGTGTTCTTAGTGCACATTCTTCTAAAGGAGCATTTAACTTTGGAAAGATCTCTCGTAGCTAGTATAGCCAGAGTTTAAAAAAAAAAAAAAAAAGCGACATACATACAGCAAGAATACTTAACCAATAATGCTTTCCCACTGCACAAGTATGCCCTGAATTTCACAGCTTTTTTTTATTATTTAAACTTCTGCATCACAAGGCAGATGTGTGTGTTTTTTTTTGTTTTTTTTCTCCACCTGGTACTGTTACAGATCTTCCCTTGGAGGCTTTTTCCGGTGGCAGTTGCACACAGAGTCTTTGTCATCAGGCTGAGGAACAAGCTCCATTCCATCCCGTATTTCAGGTTTGCTGGCTTGGCGTTTGGCATATTTCTGAAATTTGTAAACAGCATTTAAGAAAGCTGAAACCAACATGTTACTCTTGCAACAGAATACTCCTACTCCCTTCCACGCTCAAACCTCCCTTTATCCAGTTCTCCGTATGTCATTTACAGTCTGTTTACCAGGCTCTCTTTGCAATACTTCCAAATGAACCAAGTTGCCTTTAGAACTTCCTTATGACCTATTATTAAATGCCAGCTTCAAATATGGTCAAATAACACTGTCATTTTGTACACTGTACTGTCCAAAATGCTGTGTCATTGGTCCATGCATGCAATGTATGCTGAAGCTGAGATCCGGCTCTATATGGCAGAATAGCAAAGGAATGAGAGACTAGAGGGGTTGAATCATATTAGAGTTCTACTTTTTGCAAGAAAAGGAATATTACTATTTCTCCATGCTGCTGCACAAACTGCTTGCACTGACACCCTGGCAAAGACTATGGATGATTATGCCCTGTCTCCACCAGAAGCAAAGTACTGCTTAATACTGGAAACAAATCTGATGGAGGAAAAAAGAAATCACAATATCTCTATCCCCATAGGACTCATGGTAATTTAGTCTGCCTCACTGGAATAACCAGGTAAATTCTGCCCAGAGTTCTACAGACAGATCCTTGTAAACTATGGATCGTGAACAATGTCTGTCAAGTTGTACAGACTAAGTGGAAGTTTAAAGGGTTAAAAATAGTAGCAGCTGGAGGGAAGGCGAACCAAAGGATATATTGCACTAACCTGAAACACACTGTAATAGTAGCAATAAAGTCTGTGAGGCTGCAATAATTCTCTTGCAAGTAACTGTCCTTCTTTAACAATTTTTCTAGCTTCTTCATCATTTTCCTGAGAAATTGGAAAGAAAACAGCAATGAATAACAGAGCAATCAGTAAGTTGCTTGCTTTTTTCCTGCATGATAATTCTCAACAGCCCCATAATGAGATCTGCAATATTACGTACAATTACTGATGCACTGCAACAGCACATTATTTAACTCCAATTTTTGGAACTTATCAGAGTGCTTTCATGGTCACAAAGACATTGATAGCTTAGGGCTATCAGTAACAAAATTGTAGCTAATTGTACAGTTTTGGATAATCAGTTTGCTGCTGCTCTACAATGCTGTCCAAATCACAGGACAACTCACAAGCAGATTTTACATATTTCACACAAATTTGGTCACAAATAATACAAAGCTACAGTTGTTTTCTTTTTTTTGCAAGATGTAGGAAACTATTTTGGTTTCCAGCACTATTTTCTGAAGTTTTTAAATAGAATGTGTACTGATGATATGAACAGTATGTTGAGACTTGTATTCAAGCACTTACATTTTAGGTCTTTATTTAAAAGTGTTTTCACTTAGTTCTCTAAGAAGAATTACCATATTTACCTGAATCCAAGATAACTTTGAAATTTAAGACTACCCCCCCAGTTAATTTGTTAGAATCTACACATGACAAATTGTAACTGGTAGAAGGTCATCTTAAAATTTGTCCCACTATTGCTGTGGTGGGGAAAGCAGCAGCAGGGTTTGAAGGGCCAGACCCTTGCCCCTTGTCCCTAATCCCTCCCTCCTTCTCTAGGTCTGCCCCACCCCTCGTTTCCAATTCCTGCCCACCCTCCCTCCTTACCTTCTACTACAGCTCTGCTCCGCAGCACAGAATTGGCCCAGCCCCAGCCAAGCCAGGTAGAAGCAGTGGCAGCTCCTAGTCTAACTGGGTTGGGGCTGGAGGGACCAGATGTGGGGAGGGGAGCGTGCAGTAGGGTAAACAGGCTGCAGGTTCCTTCCCATCCTGAAATCTCCCCTGAGCTCCCTCTGGCTGCATGCCCCCTCCTCCACCAAATGAGCCATTTTGCCCCTGAGTCGTGCAGCAGTTCTGCTCCAGCTTCAACCCCAAGCCTGGGGCTAAAGCCAAAGTTGAAGCGCCACCCACCCCAGACCAGTAATCACATCCAAGATGAGGCTTTTTCTTCTCCCCATGCTGACTGGGAATAGGAACCTAGTTTTGGATTTGAGTATATATGATATTATGCTCTCAGACTGAAACAATTTCTGTTTTTTTAAACTAATCATGGTTTAACCTTTTAAGCCTGAACTCTATTCTCCACTGCCACAACAATATTTTTTGGCACACTTTATAGATATCTTCCATCTTACTTGGAGCATGTTACAGAGCAATGTTATTTTTGTATGTGTGAGAAAGATGTCTGGAATAACTTCTATCCTGATCAGTCCCTAAGATCCAACAACGAAGTAGTAATAAAAGAGCAGACAAGGGTGGAGCGATAGTCATCCTCAGCCATCACGAAGCCAACAGGCTACTCTGACACTAAAAACTATAAGGAATTAGGGAGGACCCTACACCAGAATTCACTCTGGAACTGGAAGATATCATTAAATCCTTCCTGCACCATCTGCAAGAAAACCTATTTTCACATATTCTCTGCTCTCCCATCCCAAGAACCATCTGTGCGTTCCCAAATATCCACAAACAAGGTAACTTGGCAGACCTACCATATCCAACTGTGGTACCCTCACTGAGAAGCTAATCGGGATTCATCAAAACGATCCTGAAACCACTTGTCACACAGACACATACATCATTAGGAGTGTATTTCTCACAGAACAACCACTCCTTCTCTGATGTCATTGTCCTCATGCTCAAGTAAAATCTACTCAATGCCTTTAAAAAGCAAACTTAGGAACAAAAATTCATAAGCTGGGGGGGATGCTAAGGACTTAACACTGATACTGATTTTATGGCATATTATAAACCTACCTGATTCCTGAATTCTTTCCACACATGAAAGATAAGAATGACCCTTCCTCCCTTTTGATAGGCCTTGATCTTCCAATGATCAGATTCTTTTCTCCTCCTAATTGTTTGTCTGCTACCCTTAGGAATTTCTCCCCTCACCCCCTTAAAACTGTTTTTTACTATGCTGTGCTGGCTTTTACTGTTCAGAGCTGATGAAGAATGCCTTGCATTTGAAAGCTTGTCTAACTCTACCCAACAGCTGGTCCAATAAAAGAGATCACCTAGTAATGATCAGAGTAACGATTTCCATCTTAAAATAAAGGAATCTAAGTTTGAAAGCAGCCTTACACATCTGGAAATGTCTCTGATATACATGCTACAGTAACTTCTATATTAAGACTCTGATTCAGGAAAACACTTAAGCAGGTACCTTAAATTAAGCCTGTGCTTATGTGCTTTCTTGAATGAGGTTATTTACATAAGTGGGACCTCTGACTGAGTTCAATAAATAATAATAATAGCCAAATGTGTGCCTTTTCCACTAGGATCTCAATACAAAGTTGAGGCAGAACGTACATGTGGAAGTCTAAAAGGAAGGATGTAGGACAGTATTTGTTCACATGTCAATTTATTCCCCTAAATTTGTTGGAAAAACACTTACCTTAGCCCATTTTATTTTTTCTAGCAAGTCCTCTAGTCTTCGTTTAACCGGAACATAATGTTTCCATGGTTCTAATGCAATATAGAAGTGCTCGTAGTATTGACAGTCTTGCTTCAGTACTAGGCTATCACCCAACAAGAGGTATGGAAATCTGTAAGCTGCTACCGTCCCATCTACATTCACCTGATACTTGTACTATAAAGAAAAATAAATAAATAAAAGCAGGAGGAAAATATTTTGAAACCAAACAGATACATCCATCAGAACAAAAACCTATCCAAAAGTGTAAAACCAGTACAGCCACACACTCATCTGTCACCAATTTCAGTGTTAGACGTACACAATTTCAAAATATTCTTAAAACAGCAAATAACAAGAGAGGAACCACCCAAGACTAGTAATAACGAATTTCTTGGTTTTGTAATGGCACTAACACAGATCTCTTATGCAGTTTGGCATAAATTACTTAACCCGCATGCCACCATGTCTTCACATACCTACTTTACAGATATCATGTGAAGGTCAGTTTAAAAGCAGGCCAAACATGGGTTACCCAACTAGTCCCATAAAAGTCAATGAGTAAATCTAGAGGGATATGGCCCAATGCAAGTAAGTGCTTGGAACTGCAACACTGATATACCAGAAAAAGAGGCATGGGGTTAGAAACTGACAGGAAAGTCAAACAAAGTTAAAATGCCTTCATTTCTTTGCCCATCCCAGGTTTTTCAGGTCACTGGTATCAGCTTCCTACTTTGTACACATGAAGTTCAAACATGACTTGCTTCTTAACAGTTCATTATACCCCTTGAGCGAATCACAGACCACATCACAAAACCACAACACAGACAATCCAGGCTCCATAATGAGTTTTCTATTAGAAGGCAGCCTGGAACTGGGACAACAGCTGAGCTGTCTGGGAGAGGCAGCTCTCACTTTGTGCCAGTTTACACTGCTAATCCTTATTTTAAGAGGACTAAGTTTATCCTCACTTAAAAGATAAATAGAATAATGCCATATTTTCTCACACACAACCCATGTGTTTTTTCTTCAAAAACAACTTTTGGCAATCTGGGTGCATACTATATGTGAGGAAATATGGTAATGCCACTTAGCTGCCAGCCTGAGCAGCGAGCAGAACACTAGCCCTGGGCACCGTCTGGGGAGCCCACACCACAGAGCTGCTGTGGGGAGTCTGCCCTGACCTGGAGTTGCAAACTGCTCACAACAAGCTAGGTCAGAGGGCAGGTAGCCTGTCCCTAGCTGGGCTGCTGCTTGCTCAGAGCAACCCTGGTCAGACAGCACGAGCAGACTTTCTGTCCCTGGCCAGGCTCCAATGCCACATAGCAGCTTGGGGCAGAGAGTTAATGGAGCAGTGGCAGGCTCCCCCACCCCCTTGCAGCCCTTGCTGGATGCAGTAGGCTGGCTTCTGTTGTAGAGATATGGCACAATATTGCAATGAGCCACCTAAGGGATATACAAAGTCCAGGTGCGGTGTTTTGATTTTATAACTTACTCTTTGTAAAGTTTTTTTGCATTTGCATAACTGGTTATATTAAATTACCACTTAGTGGTATTTTCAAGGAAAAATCTTTTTTTTCTTAAGTCCACCTTCCCAAGCCAGGGTGTGTGATATATGGGAGGAGAGGGGAGGGGACTGTTATATGTCAGCAAATATGGTACTAACATTGCACCAGACATATCCACGAATACCTACTATCTACTTTAGCAATATGGTAACATTTCTGAGTTAACTAAGGGTTTTGCTGTAAGGGTTAACTCAGTTTATAAAAATTAAATCGACTTCAGTGTCTCTATTTACATCAGTTTTACCTCAATAAATGTACAACTGTCCTGCAGCTTGGTAAACAAAGACCTCCCTTCATTTCTCACTAGGAATCAGCAGAACCATTGCCATTCCACTGGAGCCACTGAACCAAAATTAAGATTTTGCAAGGCAAACATAGGATTTAAAAAAATGGAAACTATAATATATTTAACATACTATACATTGTAAAGAACCTGCTACTAGAAACTTTCACATTCTATCAGATATCCAAGATCAGTTGTACTGATACGTGAGAGTTTTAATCTGCACATTTCCCAAGACGATAGATACTTACAATATTCTGTTTACTAATGACATCATCAATCCAAGTCCTGTCAATGCATTAATAATGAGACGTGTCCCACTGACTTTAGATAGGAGTTGAATGAATAAATTCTCTCATCTCACAGCCCTTCAACCTTGAGGTGATGTGGCTCCACACAACATCCAATGAATGACATAACATAGCCCAAATTGCTTAGAAGACAGAAAAATCACTTGTCTGTTTTGTGGATCACATTTAACAAAATTAGAAAAAGTACAAAGACTGGATCCAGATGTCAAGAAACTGATTGCAGACCACTGAATGTGAACAAAGCAGAAGAGGATATTCCAAATTTTCCTCCTACCTATTGCTCAGCTTGGCTGGTGCTGATACAACACTGAAAGAAGTTGCACATTCAGCTCTATTAAGAACGTTCAATATATTGTTTTACCCATTACTGTGGGTTCTCTTTCTGAAGTTTAACAGCATCCTTACATCTATATAAAATGCACCTGTTATTTTCATGTTTATCCCCTAATAAGAAACTGACGTAGTAGCAGTGTGTCAAAAATCTGAATCTGAGCTCTGGATAGGACCATAATGATAGCCCATAATGGCATTCTTTAGAAATGATTACATTGTAGGTATGGATACTACACATATACTTTGAATGGACAAATACTCCCAGGACAGCATGACAGTTTCACATATTAAAACCCAATCATTGAAGTTAAAAAGAAAACCTACTGCTTTTTATAGTAGGTAACTACTTAACTGCAAAAACAAACCCATGTCTACAATATGATGAATACCTTAAAGAAATCAAAGAATCCCATCAGCTGAGCCTTTCCCAGCTCTTTCTCCTTTTCTCGGAAGAAGAAGTATCCTGTTATTCCAGCATCTAGTAGTTCTGGATGCTCCTTAGATAATTTCACCAGTTCTAGACGTTCCTCTCGACTGTCTCGACCTCTGAATAAAGCTCGTTCAGTTTTGTTTTTCCAACAAGGGCCTATGAGTATTGATAAGATAAGGGAAGAAAGGAGCCTGGAAATGTTCATGCTACACTAGGTGTAAGCAACACAAGTATATTTTGAGAACGTTTCATTATCGCATTTATAGGAAAGTGGGTGTCAGCATAATTTCTAATTATGAACTTGTTAGTTAAAGGAAAATTTACAGCTAGGGAAAACATCTGCCCTGATCTGAATGTTGGCATAAAAACAAACTTATAAAGATAATTAAGGCCTATATCTATAAGAAACCAAGAAAATGATTTGTACTTTTAACACATTTTCAAGAAAATGTTTGTTGGTTTTTATGTTAACTGTACAAATGCTTTGACACCTGCACAAGAGGGTCTCTAATTAAGCGAACATTTGTTTTAAGAGTTCACCTAAATATTCCAAAACACAATTCTGTTCCACCTTTAGCAATAATCTACCTCTTGTTAACAACCAATTTCATCATTTAACAGTAATCTACAAAGAAAATAAATATATTGCACTCCTTTTTGCCTTTTTTACAGAATACAGCAAAATCAAAAAATGTGCTTTTCATGCTTTAACTATCTACAAATAATATTTTCCCATTTGCAGGTGACTTGTAAGACATAGTGGAGGTTAATCTCTTGGAAGACATGCATTCATTTTCCCATTTTTATTTAAAAACAATTACAACTCACCAAATTCTACCTCAGGAACTGGACCGATACTGTTTATAGTTAGAAGACTAGAGCACTTTCTCAGGTGAAAGGGATTATAGAGATATTTACATTTGTCAAGCAGCCAGAGCAACTACTTTACTGAGTGCTTATTTTCTAAAAACATTACAATACAAACTGCAATGGTACTCATAATAACATGACATGTCAAAAATGATTTTGAAAGGATATAGTTCTTTGTGAAGTACAATACACATAAGAGGAAGAGTTTTTTTCTTAAAAGAAACTTGTTTCCCAAACCCAAACAAGGTACCTGGTTAACCTAAACAATGTTTAATAGTTGCAACTGAAGACTAAAGTTAAGGACAAATTTTCAAACTGAGTGCCTTAAATTAGGCTCCTAAATCTTTTGGGAATCCTTATAAAGCCTCCATATTTCAATTTACCTGTGTTTCCTTGAACAGAAAGAAGATCATTTGTAACTCCACGTAGGGTTTCAAGTGTTGAATGGGTTATATCATATGTTGGAAGGACGATGTCCCTTGAATCCAGAGAGCCACACCATGAAATTATAGGTATAGGACCAGGCGTATCGTTAGCTTTTCGATGCTCAACTGGCCAATCTCCAACATTAAGATAAAACTCTACATCAGGAAGATGAACCTAAATGTATATTTAAAAAAAAGACAATTACACTATGATCTTGCCCTCAATTCTCTAAACTGCACAGATTAAATCAATCATGCCACCAGACCGAGATTAGGTGAGATAAAAATTAGGTGATTCTGGGTTCAATCCTGCAATCCCTCTCTGCGCAGAGCTCTTACTGAAATCAACAGGACTCCAAATCAAGAAGCCTTGCAGAATTGGGCCCTTAACACCTGCACTTTTCTCACTGGTTTCAGTGAGCTTTTGGGCAGTCACCACTGATAATATGCTCCCTAAAGAGATGAGGTCATGCTGATGCAGAAGGAATAAAATCTTAGTTTAATAATAAAGCAGATATCCTAGTTTAAGGTCTGTATGAAAACAGAAGATGGAATATACCATCCAAACAGAAACAAATTATGATCCAACAACCTTTACATAAATGCTCAATATAAATAGTACCTTTCTTGCCAATGAGAGTAACATTTCATCGGAGAACATTTTGAAGTCTGTGTACTTCCCTAAGGAACGACGGTAAACGTGATTATTGAGAATGGTGTAATGAACAATAGCACCTCTCGCTTTCCCAAATCTTATTGGGACTTCTTCTAGCATCCGCTGAAGGTCCATGGTGGGAAATGGTGTAAAGTCCTTAGTAACCTGTGGCTCCTGGGATGGACATGACAGAATATTCTGCCAGGTTTGAGGATCTTCTGGACAATCACAATACTCATGATAAACTGGCCCTGCAGAACACAAAGCATCAGGACGGTCTGATTTATCTGGTCTCTACTGACAATATCCCAAACTGCTATTGTACAAATCGAAAAGTAGAGCCAGTAGGCATGTTTCTTTTTAAAAAATTATTTTGATAAAAACAGCCTGTTTTCCTAAATAAAAGGTCCCGTGAAGAATTCTCATGCTTTTAAATTTTCTGAGTTTGCAATAAAAAAAGTTAAATCTGTCAGATTTCTTATTTTTCAGAGGCCAAAACATTTTTGTTTTGTCCTCAAAACCAAAAAGTTCTGCAAAATATTATAAGAACAGTAATATGTTTGTTTCCTTTGAAAATGTTCATGTAAAATGTATACCATTTTACAGTTATTTCTAGAATATATTCCATAATATTTCTGTCATGGCTATCAGCATAAAATAGGAAACTACCAAAACAAAGAACAAAAACCCTTACCTTTCAAAATGTAAGGAGATTGAGCTACGTGTTTATTATCATACAGTACTTCAATCTTTAATCCTTCATTGACACTTGTATACATGCGATACCGCATGAGAAATGATCCATCGTTCCTATCCAAGGGGTTAGGGACATGGATGCGGATAATCTCATTTGGGGAAAGTGCTTTGATTAGTACTTTAAACTGTGCTCTTCCTGAAAAGAAGAAAATAAAAAAAAGATGTAGAAACTCCTTGCTATGAGAGTTACTTACCTAAAACAAATGAGATGTTAGTCTTCGATAAAATTCTGCTCTGAATTACCCAGCATAAATTTGAAGCAACTCCACGTACATCTATTAATTTACTCTGAAAAATTATTCTGATTGCATATTTTCAACAACATATATAAGAGAAAAGAGATCCTGTCAAGATCTCCTGATCATCATTTCAAATCTCAACAGGTAACCTACAGATGGAGACAGACAAATGTGAGTTACCTTAAAGTGCAATGGTTATAATACAGTGAGAATGACCAAAAAGTTGTAAAGCAAGGACTAGATTTATTATTACGGTTTCAAGTTAATGCTAAGAGGGTGAGTCATTTTCTCAGGAAAGAGATGAAAAACCAGGGTATAATATAATAGTAGTAAAGAATACTTGCCAGCTTTTGGGAAGACAGTTGCAGCATGCAGAAGTCAGATACAAAATGGTCACCTTTGGGCCGCAGCTGTTTTTCTTGCAAATTTAAAGGGCCAGCTATTAGAAAAGTAGGGATAAGAGAATGAAAACCTAGATGTCTTCTGGACATCTGCTGTGTCTTATGCTGAAAGATTACCACCGCTGCATCATCAATGCATCTCAGTTCTTAAACCGAGCACAGAACATTTTGGAGAGAAACTGAACAACGTTTTAAAATGCTAAAACTAGTATTACGATAGTAATACTAAAATACTAAATCATTCCCTCATCTCTTTCAGAGTTGGGTCATTTGGACAAGATACTTGACTATTAGCAGCCAAAAATGTGACAAAGGATAGATTTTTAATAATGAGACATGCTAATTAGTGGCACAAACAGATCAAACGAATTTTATTAACACTGCCGTTGAGTGGTATACAGAAAGAAAATGAATCAAGCAATTTTCTATTATATAAAAGTATAAATTTTAATCTGTCCAAATGGACTCTACTGTGTTTTGACCTTCCAGGTGCCAAGGTGATCTATATGTATACAAAGCGGACCTTTTTGTATTCTATTTCCTAATGTGATGTATACAACACCAAGTTTGACATTGTCAGCCATTAAGCACTAAACCAATGGTTCTTAACCTCATCATACTCAAGGAATCCCCTGTAGACTCAGGGCACCCCTCAGACAATACCAGCTCTCGCCTTTCCAACATTTCCAGGCCCTTAAATGCTGGAGGTTGCAAGCAGGAAAGGAACAGTGGAAAAAAACTTGGCCATACCCTGTTCACTCCATCCATTTCTACCCCTGTGCGACACAGGAGACTAGACAAGATGAACCTATGGTCTGATCCAATAAATGGCAATTCTTATGTTCTTATTTTTTGACTGTGAAAAAATAATAGAACATTTTTTTATCGTGCAAAAAACTCAGAAAGACCACAACAGGGCAGAATGTTTTTGACACTATGGATTCCTATTTGAAATCTCATGAATTGTGTGTAGGTGTTCACATACCTAACAGTGCTACTATAGTGCAGCATCCTTAAAAGGATGCAAAGCACCCCAGGGTGTCATGGCACCCCAGTTGAGAATCCCTGGTGTGTGCAGAGGAACAGCGGGGAAGGAATCTGAAGGGAAGGCTCTACGCAAATGTAAATAAATCACTGCTGGTAAACTGTGTAGAGAGGACAGATTGGTTAAACTGACCTAGATTACTTGATAAGATGGGCTTGTTTTAGCAACATACTTATTCATACAGCCAAATGTTAAAACATATATCTAAAAACAAAAAATACAGGTCACATTTAAAACTATGGGGGGGATTAAACTATGAAACACAGTGATGCTGAAAAGGGCCAAGGGGTCATGGCAGGCGAAGTCCTAGTGCAATGCTGAAGAGGAGGGGTCAGCAACATTCAAGTACAGCAGGCTGCTGCTTGTGACCTGGCTGCCACTATGGGCTGCCAATCCTTTCCACAGCACCCCAGCTCCATGACCTCTCCATGTCAGGAGCTACTCTCATTCCTACATCTCCTACTGCAGCCTCTGCTTATCCTCCTAAGCGCCACCGATTTCCATCCCCAATGGCAACAGGGACCAGTGAAATTTGCAGCAAGGATAAACAAAAGCTACAGTAGCAGGATGACAGAGCAGCCCCTGGCACAGAGCAACAAGGACTAAGGTAGGCACTAGGGCTGTGTGAAATTTCCTCAGCTGTTCCGATTCAACACTGTTTCGACTCATTCTGAGCTCAAAACAGCAAAATTGAATCAAAACAAAGGGCTTTGAAATAGCCTTGAAACAAAACAAGGCTAGTCAAAACATTTTGAAAGTTTCAAAACGTTCCAGTTTCAAAGCAGCCAGCAGCGAGGTGTTGGGAGACAGGGGAGAACCAGGGCTGCGCTCCCAGCAGCAGGCAGGAGCGCAGCCCTGGCTCTCCTCGTCTCTCACAGCCCGGCTGCAGGAAGCCGATCACAGCACAGGGGAACCAGTTCAGGCTCAGTTCCCTTCTCAAGCACTGCAATCGGGCTGAGGAAAGAAACTGAGCCCGATCATTCAGTTCCCCTCCCTAGCCCTACGATTGGGCTGGGAATGGGAAGTCAGCCCAGCTGGGCTAAGTTCCCATCCCATGCGCTAGATCAGGCTGGGAATGGAAAGTCAGCCCATCCCCAGCCCGATCTAGTGTGTTCTCGGAACTCGGCCCAGCTGGGCTGACTTCCCAACCCCAGCCCAACCATCGCACTGGAGAAAGGAACTCAACCCAGCTGGGCTGAGTTCGTTTCCCCAGCCCGATGGTTGGGCAAAACGACAAAACAGCCTCACTGTTTCAATTCAAAATGAAATTTGAAACAAAACACTTTCGCCCAAACCTCGAAACTGAAGTCAAAACAGAACAGTGCCATTTCGCACAGCCCTAGTAGGCACCTGCTGATCATTATAGATGGGATCAGCAGCGAGTGGCAGAGGAATGCAGAGTGGAAAAAGTGGCTCCTACCACTGTGCCACCGCGGGTTAGATCCAATCTTTTTATGGGCCAGATTTAGCCTGGGGGGGCTGTAGGTTGCCACTCCCTGCTAGAGAGTGCTGAGTGAAGTAGAG